ACTTGGCCCCTGCTACGGACTTGTTCACGAAAACATGAATTTTGTGTTTACAGGTGCGTCACTTGTTGCCCTATGTGACTTCTCCGTGTTTCATTCCTGCATCATACAATTCCCCAATTCGACACGGCTTGTAGATTTATAACTCTACGAACAGTCAGTATGCACAAGACTCGCAGACTAACACGAGTGCACTAAGAAAGAAATGAACTCTCCGTTCTCCAAATCGCTCTGCTAGTTCAGAGTTATCGAGCGTTTTCCTTGTGGCAGCGCAAATAATCTTACCTGTTCTCAACTACCTTTGGATTGTCTATAGAAATTCACAGTAAAATTAACTTGGTGTGAATACATATCATCATGAAACCCCCAGAATATGATGTTTTATCATTTGCTTTATCTATGCGCTCTTCCCAACCGTTGGGCATCAGCTGTAGTGATTAATCGGAGCCGTGGTTTTAAATTGCGCGTCACGCTGACTGTGATTTAACACCGTGATATTTTACATACTAAAATTAGCGAAGCGGATGGTTATTCTAGTTGAGATCTTTAGTTCGCTTGCCCCGTAGTCTTCATGCACGGTTTTCACGACAGCGTTTGATTGTTCACTTGATATATCTTAAAGTCATCGTCTGACCACACTTCTGTTCCCTCGCGTTTTGGTTACTTCCAGATATGTTGGGTTATGGAATGGCCAAGGCAGCCGTTCACCACCTGACTAAAAGTCTGGCACTAAAAGGTAGTGGGTTGCCCACCGATTGTGACGTGCTGGCAATTCTTCCGTGAGTATCCAAATAAATGAGTGAATATTTTACATTTGCTTATTTCCTTCATTCGAATTGATTTCCTTTAGGTCTATCAAGAAAGCGATTTTACCTGGGTCATATAAAAGCTGTTTTCTTTGCGTGACGGTTCATCTGTAAACTTAAACTGGTCAAAAATGTATAGTAGAGTAAGATTTGTGTACAACTGATCAAATTATGCGAGTGCTGTTGAAGCAGAGATTTCCAGAAATTATTTACCTACTGTTTCCATATTGGTCGTGTTCTGTGGATCCCGACCCGGTATTTCGACGCAATCTGTTGTACTCGAGTCACGGTTCGCACATTATCATTATGTCGTGAACGAAACCCTTTCGTTTGACTCAATTCCGTATTTTTTCTGTGTTCAGATTTACAATGACGCAGTCATTTTGATAGCAGTAGAATCAACCCGTGCGTAGCTCATGGGTACAATGGTTCCAGGTTGCACAATGTAAAGCCAATGACTTTTAAGGAGTTTGACTAAAGCTGTTAGCGAGGCAAAACATGACTCATAAAGCAGTGGGTAGGTGCGTGAATATTTCCGTTCTTCGGATGTCCTTACCTCTGACGGAGGTGACCAAGATCTCAGGCTATCCTGGAGTTTTTACGTCTCTTGAAATGATTAAAATCACGATTTACCAGCTACCATAATCTAACTGCCTTATCAACCCGGTTATGGTTCCAGGTGTTACCAACTCAGCATTACTTTCATGAAAACTGCTACGGATGGGCAGTAAATAAAACCGCGAAAGTGCATGGTCAATGGTTGTACAAACTGAAGCTGAAATTTTGCTAACTGTCTTCACAGTCTGGTACATTCACACGATTTAGCTTCGGAATGCTCCCTAACAGTGCTGTTTCAATCTGTTTGTCCGATTGAGCCCCAGTAAAAATACTAGAGTTTCTTCCAAGTACTAAGGAGGGTTTTTGTCGTTTGTCTCTGTAATGTCACTATCTTATCGAAACTTTACCGAGTTTTGGGACCAATTGCATGATTGCCTTTCCCAATACGGTGATCCAGTAATCTACTCGTGCGTTTACACTAGTCTTTTTCGTTCTAAAATTGGGCTTCAACTCAATGCGCTCACATTGGCGTCTTGTTTTTGTGGAAAACGTTCTCTAGTCTGTTTCACCCATCTTCATTCATTTGTACTAGATACTACCACTACTACTACTAGATGCTGTCTTCCATTTCCCCCTAAAACACAGTCATACTGATTTAACCATCAGTGTTTGAAGTGTAGGTGATTTTTCTTACCACCGATTATCGGAATTCATATCTATGGATTCCCATATGATTTCATTGTAGGGTTCATTGCAGTATTCTACTAACTATTTGTTTCTTTCGTTGTTCTCAGTATTTAACGTGCGAGTTTGTTGATGTGTATTATGAATGCATCAATTGGGGTTGCGTATTTTGACTTAGCATTGTGTAACATTGCCCCAGTCCGGTATACTCGGGAATCTGATAAGGTACGGGTTGGTCAAAGAGCCCTGTCACAATGCATAACATCCTTACACTGTTGTCTGGTCTTAATCATTAAGCATCGTTTTCCCCATTCCCTCCGGGGGGAAAATGTCCTCATTTGTGCTCTCGCTTTCATGGTCGATACATAATCCCTCAAAAGACTAAACAGGAGCTTTAGATTTATTCGTGACGAGTTGAGAACACTTGAGCAGATTATTTTTGTAATCAGCAATACAGAATGTTCTTGTTTGCCTTCCTAGGGTGATTTTGGACACACCAATGAATCGGAAATGCATGCCCAAAGCGGATCGTTCAACATGGACACCACTGGAATTTGTAGCACAGTAAGTGTATCTTTGTTTAGTAATAGTTTGTGGTGGTCAGATCATCAAATAGCAGTTCAGAGTTTGTAAAAGTGATTCCTACTGTACCAACCAACTAAACACATCTTTTTTTACCGCGCCCATTCCCAAGAAAAATGGTTGTACCAACGGTTATCAAATGGTCGTATACAAGACTAAACAGTAATTGACAGAGTGAGCTTTATCGGATCACGGCGATAGCCTTTGGCTCACAGGGGTTGCATTCCACACACACGACCCATCATATGTTTGTATGGTTTTGTTTTTACAATTCTGATCACTTAAATATCGTCCCAAACGGTCGTAGGTATTTCAAAAAACCTTACACGAAGTTACTTAGCCTTCTGTCGTGTCCACTGTGATGTTATGTTTCCGGCATTCTTCAATCCAAATCCCTGAGGTAGATTTCATCTTGATTATAGTTCCAATACGCTCACTTGTAGCGCGCTTCGTACCCTGTTTTGAAAGTACTGCAGCGTTAGATCACAAATGCCTGTGAGCCTTTCCAACATAATGAACTGTGAACTCATTGACCGTGCAATGGAACCCTTCTGTTTAGCCTTCTTGATGCTAGTTATCATCTTTCAATGGGAGTTCGGCACTATGTCGTAAGCATTAGACGAGACAGGTCGTATTTGAGTCATCAAGAATGGCTTGATTGTTGCAAAGGTGAACAAAATATTACATAGTGAAACACGTTGATTCTGAATGAGCCCAACAAGTTGGTGACTAACAAAAAATCTAGCGTTGCTCAAGTTGGTCGAACCACTAAGGACTCTGGAGTGTTCGAAAATGTACAGTTCAGTTCAGTTTGTACAACCATTAACCACGCATATTCGTGCGCCGGTTTTGGTTGCTGTCTTTTGGCTGCCCATTAGGATGAAGAATAGGAGAAGAAATGAAAGTTGAAAGTGGAGTCGAACAGAAAATGGAGAAGTTCAGTGGTTTAAGGTTGCAAAGAACTTGAGAAGATGTACGAACGCCACTGTCTGCGACACCCAACCATATCGCTGTGTCTCTAACCATCGGTTACGATCATCCCGAGGTCCCCAGCCAGGGAGCTGCTCAGTGTCTCTAACCATCGATTACGATCATCCCGAGGTCCCCAGCCAGGGAGCCTAACAGGGCGTATGTGAGCCAGTTACCTGCTTAGGGTTTTCATACCCTCGTGCCAGGTCTTAACTTGACCACCCTTGGCTTTTTCTACTCTGTATCTTCTTCGGACCATCATCCCGAGGTCCCCAGCCAGGGAGCCTAACAAGACCTATGTGACCCAGTTTCCTGGTGAGGTCCCCAGCCAGGGAGCCTAACGGGGCCTATGTGACCTAGTCTCCTGGTTAGGGTTTATGCCAGGTCTTAGCTTGACCTCCCTTGGCTTTTTTCCACTCGGTTTCTGCTTCGGCGAACATCGCTCGCTGTGGTAACCTATCTGGTGACATGCGTTGCACATGTCCCAACCAACGTAATCTATGGAGGTCAACCACTTGCTCCAGTGGGCGACCGTATTTACCCAAAACTCTACGTCTAACCTCGGCATTGCTCATCCGGCTACCCCACCAGATTCGTGCAATGCTGCGTAGACAGCGGTGTTCCAGCGTTGCTCATCCGGTTACCCCACCGAACTCGTGTAATGCTGCGTAGACAACGGTGTTTGAACAATGACAATCTATCTTTATCCTGTTTTCTTAATGGCCAAGTTTCTGCACCGTATAGCAGGACTGGCTGAACTGCTGCAGCATACACAGACAGCCGAATGTCGCGACGGCGCCACAGATGTCTCCAGTTGGCAAATGCCAACCGAGCCTTCTGTATGCGAGCAGACACTTCATCTGTGATGCGTCCACCGGGTGAGATGTAGCTGTCCAAGTAACAAAACTTATCCACTAGTCCCATTATTTCCCCAGTTAGAGTGAGGCTGGGTGCTGGACCAACTCAGTCTTGTAGCAACATTTTACACTTTGAAGGTGCAAAACGCATACCGAATATGGATACGCTAGCATTCAAGTTACCCATAAATGCTGGCAACTTAGCAGAACAATGTTGTCAGTGTACTCTAGACCAGACAGTCTGCCTCCTGGGAGTAAATCGATACCGCTATCCTCGCACGAAGGTAGGGCTGTTTCCATGATCAAATCTATAACAAAGTTGAATAAAAAAGGAGAAAGAGGGTAACCCTGACGAACTCGGGCGAACAAGTGCCGTAAGCCCGGACTCGACTTCGGTTATTAGTATAAAGAGATTGTAATATTGCGATTAACTTCTCGGGCACACCTTTCAGAGAAAGGCAGTACCAGAGTTTAGAACGGTCGACTAAGTCGAAAGCCGCTTTCAGATCTAGGAAGACAGAGATGGTGGGTCTACGA